ACAGCTTATAGATTTCTGCCAGTTGTGCTCCAGTCATATGGGTAAAGATAATAAAATACACAGTTTTCGTATATAATTCTTCAAGATCTTAGGTCAAAGGTTAGGGTCAGATGAATTAGGAAAAAGCTTTAGTTTCCATTCGGTTATCAGTTTTGTTCTCTGTTATGTTACTTTTCATTGTAAGAATTGAACAAAAAGGCTTCCAGTACAACCTGTAAAAACCTGCAGCAATTTTTAAAAATTGCTTCATTGTGCAGAGAGTGATCCAGCTGCAATCTACTCAGAAGTGTGAACTAGTTATGAACAAATTGGCTTCAGAGCAAACAGACCTGCAGGTACAGTTATTCTTCACTATAAAATGATTAGTTTTTTTTTCTAAAAGGTTGAAATGATCCTTTAAAGTGACCAGGAAATGTATCTGTAGCATAAACACAGAGCAGGTCCCGATCTGCAGTTTCTGGGTGAGTAACTATAAGATAAAGTTTGGGTGACAGAAACACAGTCAGCACTCTGCTGAGGATCATTGTTTCTTTTCCATGAACTACTAAACCTAAGCATTTCCTGCTGGCTTTCTTTCATATTAAAAGTTAATTTATGACAGAAAGGCTGAAAAACTTTTAATGTGAAAATGCTGGAGGAAGTACTGAGCTTCATTCATGGCATTTTGACATTGAAAAGGACAATGAGTTTTCGAAAGATGAACACTCTGCCCTAAAAATAACATTTATATTATTTAAACTGTCTGAGCTTTGATCAATAATGTTTCATTTTGATGACACTCAACAGTTCTTTTGTTGTTTTGTTACAATTTAACTGCATATAGGTTTGGTTTTGTGCAGAGCTGTGGGTTGAGCTGTGCATGTTTGTGTGCTCAGATTTTCTGGAGCCAGAGGTCATTTACTCCAATCTCCAGTAGTCGACCAGTCCAGCCAGTGGAGTCCAGCTGCTCTTCTCCTGTTGTCCTGTGGGTTTCATGAAGATGACTGATGGAAAATTTGAATGGACTGATAAAACATATGTCTTCAGTTCAGATAGGAAACAAACAAATTAACTGCAACCACAGACTATAAACAGCATCGCTGCATTGTGTGGGTTACAAGCAGCAATTCATATGTCAGCTTTCAGAAACTCAATGAACTGTTTCATTATTAAATTAAAAGCATTCTGTGCTTTCAAACTCAAAATCGTGAAATTTGATTTGATGAAAAAGAAAACATTTCATCATGTTTAGTCAGTTTAATTGAATTAATTGTTTGATTGAAATAATTCAACTCAGTCAATTCAGTTCCATTTGTATGGCAAATAAAAAGATCACAGCAACAGTCGCCCCGAGGTGCTCAAACTGGACAGCTGCCCTGATCCAGTCCAAAAAATTATAGAACCACAGTTAATCATGCTTCCATCAGATAGCATGTATTTTAAATGTGAAACACAGAGACAATGAACACAAAGAAGAACATAGACATGACGTTAGTTTTGTGGTTTATAAACACCTTCAGAGTCTGCTGCCATCTACTGCTAATACTGGGTATTAGCAAATGAAAAACTACTTAATGTCTATATGTTGTGATATGTTTATAGTTAGTTATTCAGAGTTAAAATGTTTTTATTGTTGATGAAGGATTACCAGACTGAAAATACATCATATAAACACACATTTTTCTGTATCTCTCCCACATGTGATGAATACTGCAGCAGTCCCCAACCTTTTTTGCGCCACGGACCGGTTTATGCCCGACAATATTTTC